TTCGGCAAATCCTATCTCCTTTCATAATATCTTGTCTTTAGTAAGAATATGCATAGTGTAAGAATGTTAATTATGCCTGAAATTATATTGCAGCAACAAGCGGGAGTTAAAAAGGAAGATAAAAAGGCTGTGAACCATGGAATCTATTATCTTAAAAAGTACAATGAAGCCAGTCTTTGATAATTTTATGTACATATTGTGTAAATGCGATTAAATTAATTCTAAGGAAACAGGTATCTGCTATCACAATACTCTTTAAGTGTATGTGTGCAATGTTTAAGGTTTTGGAACTAATAGGTGCACATTTAAGATGCAGATCAACATGTAGATATTTATATGCCATGTCCCATATATTTTGTTTTCATTTATTAGTCATTCCAGATAAGTGTGTTTGTATCAGATTCATTTTCAGATACTTGACATAATAGATGATTATAACAGTGTACTATCCTGTATTATTAATTCCCATAAATTCATTTTCACTGCAGGGGGGGGGGAGGGAGTATAAGAAATACCTGGGCCCCTCCTCTGCTGTAAGGGGAATATCCATACATATACATATATGTGTGTGTGTGCGTATATAGATATATGTGCATATATATACATACATGTATATAATTTTTGTACTATATATATATATATATATATATATATATATATATATATATATATATATATATAAGAAAAATCCACAATGCACATACTAGATTTATTAAAAACATGACAACAGTTTCGATGTGAGGTTCCTGCGATACGGCACGCTGCCACCGCCCGATTAGTAAGTATGGGAACCGTGTTCGTGCATGTGGGTGTGAATGTTGTATAAGAGAAGGGGAGGAAAGAAAACAAAGAGTATGTGTGCTGAATATGTGAAAAGGGAGATAGCGTAGGCTGAGCATCTGCGTGGACGTGATTCGTAGAAAATTGCAAGACCATAGAATTCTCTTCATTCTTTTGGTTGGTCACCCCCCTGCTGGAATCAGGAACCCAATTTCAATGGCATTCTTAGGTTTGTTCTTTTTAGATAAATGGTAAGAGATCAGCTTGAATATACTCTAATTCATCTAGCCTTTTTACAGACTTTCATGGGTTGCGAGATAAAGTAACCAGTAATATGCTGTTTAGGAGACCCGAGTCTGAGACGTTTTTAAGCTCACAACCTTAATTTTCTGGTTGGGACTAAGTAAAAGCTCTAAGAGGAGCTCAGAAAGCCCTAGTGGCAGATCCAGATTTCCCCATTCCTTGAATTGGTGGGAAAATGAGTTTTTCCTTTCTAATACAACTGATATCGATACTGTTATCATTCTTACTGAAATGATTATCAAGTTGTTATCAAAATCTTGGTAATAATAACGACAGTGAAAAACCCAAAAGGCATTTTCCAAAAATCAAAGGAAAGGGGTAAACAGGTGAGACAGGTATGACTAGAAACTGAATCCTTGGTGACTTAGCACTTGTAGAGCCATTTATATGTAAAGACAAAAAATTGACCTAAATTACAGTAGACATGGCATGTGCTATCCATACCAAGTGGAATAAAATGGAAATTAAAACTAAGAAAAAAAGGTGCAGAAAGAATTCTTGTTGTGTTGCATGAATGGTGGTTCGTTTTAACGTCATGGAATTCCATTTTAGGTCAAGGGCTAGGACGGGCCTGTCCCGTGAGGGACAAGCAGGACTTGGCAGGTGGAGACCGTTACCCTGAGTGGATGCCCTTCCTAACCTTGGACCGTGGCCGGGAATCGAACCCGTGCGCTTGCGGACCCTCCGGCCCACAGCCGCGCACGTTACCACTGTACCACGGCGGCCCCCTGTTGTGTTGCATGAATATTCAATAAAAAAGGAAGGTGATGCAGGCACTTGGCTGCTGTTGTTGAAGAGACCAGAGATATGTCAGTAAAGGCTAAAGTGGCAATATTATCGTTCACCCGTGTCGGACTGCCAACGTTTCGAATGACCAAGTCAGAATCATTCTTTAACTTAACAACTTGCCCAGTTCAAACATCTACCAGTAGGTAACCCCATAATGTATGATGGGCATTAAAATCACCAAAAATTTATTTACTTTGTGACAGACTGTCCTGAAGAGCAGAGAGCTCATCGTAAATTAAATTCTCAGGTGGATAATAAACTGAACATATAGTGAGAGATCCTCACTGTCCTTCCAACCTAAGTAGTAGTTCCTCAAGGAAACGACCTTGTCAGAGACGAGGTATGTTAAATGTGTTTCTTGGAGAAATATAATATCGGGAGCATAGGATGACGCTATAAATTTAAGGTCATTTAATATAGCTCTAACATTTCGACAGTTCCACTGTATAATGGTCGATGAGATTACTTTTTATGAGGTCTGTCTACCTTTTTTTTTTTTTTTTTTTTTTTTTTTTTTTTTTTTTTTTTTTTTTTGAGGGAGGGAGGCGCCTAGTCTGTCTCGCCTCCTGGGGACTTCCCTTTAGAGGGTTATGAGACAGGAACCTTCATGTCCTGCTTCTCCTGGCAAGGGAGGCGACTGACAGAAAGCGATTTGTTTCTCGAGAGAGAGACCGAGCCCTCAGGAGTCGCATGGATGGGGAGGTGCGATCTGGACTGTGATTTGGTATCAGCTCCCTTAAGATATTTATGCTGGGTTCATGCAGCCATTTGATTGACCAATTAAGTCAGCTGATATAGTATACTATTCAATATTTTTGATAGTTTATGTGTCAAACTTTCCATTTTCCTCTTAGCTTCAATGTAACCAACTTCATGTTTTCTTAGACTTGCTAATGTCTCACATGTTAATGTCAATGTTCCATTGTTCTGAGTCGAGTTTGTTGTAAAGTGGTCATGGGTCGCCCATCCTCCTTGAGGAGGAGAAAGGGAAGCCGGGGTAGCATCCATCCTGGGCTTTGGACCCAGTCCAAACCCTTAGCCCAAGGCTAAGGGTTCTAACGATCTAATGGCTTTAAGTGAATAAACAAATACTGTTCTATCATGGGCAGTCGATAGTGCCAAATATTACCAATGGCGATGTATGATTCAGCAGTCTGAACTTCAATTCACATTCAGTCGACCATACACCCACCCCCTACACATTCATCTGTCTTGGAGCCGTCGGTATATGTATGAAAAAAGGAAGATGCTAAATAAGGATCTCTGTAAAGCTCTAGAATACCTCCACCTCCGGCGCCATGGCCTTAGATAATGGAAGCCAGGTTTCCATGAAGGAAAATTGGGGGTTTCCTATGGAGCTATATTTGACTGGACCGGGGAATCAATGGTAGAGATCTATACCGACTTTCTCGACGAGGTCGTGGAGTCGAGTGACATTAGGATGGCTCGGGTCTTGAGCCTCCTTTATGGTCAGTGGTAACTGACTGCGTTTGAGTCGGAGGGGAGGTACTCGTGAATTCACATAAAGACGTTCGATTCGAGTACAATTCAGGGCTCCAAGACACACATGCAAACAAGCATTCTGCACAACATTCAAACTTTTCAAAATTGAGTTTGATACCAAGCAATACACAATTAACCTTTAATCTATTTTAGACCTCATCAGGGCTTTATGTATCACTAGCAAAGACTGTCTATCTGCTCCCCATTTATTACCAGAGATGCACTTTAAAATATTTAGTGTTCTTTGACATTTATTCTGTAATTGACCAATGTGGTCTTTCCAACCGAGTCTATGTTCAAAGAGTAGACCAAGAAATCTAGCAGAATTTTTAATGGATATAGTGTGATTGTCTAGAGTTAGCCTGATGTTCGGCTTCCTCCTGTGTGAAAATCTACCCTAATACTCTCTCTTACAAATAATCTAATACCCCACTGGAGAACCCAATTGTGAATCATATCTAGTACCATTTGGATACGATTTGTCAAGAATTCTGTATTACTGCTGGAATGGCATAATGCATGACCATCAGCATACAGTGAATATTTAAGATTACGAGGGGGTGCTGTCGTGCCTGGACAAAAATACCCAAAAAAGTAACATCAGAAAAAAAATTCCACATAATCCAAAAGCAAAAGTTTTCTGAATAGGGAATATCGTCATGTCATGTAGGCTTTTTCTATATCTAAATACACTGAAATCAAAAAGTGTTTTTTGGCAGTTGCCTCTTGAATGTGACTGGCTGTCCAGTTTTACTAGTTGATCAAGAGTTTGGCATCCTTCCATGACCTTGCATAAGCAATTCGCCAAAGTAATTGGGTGGTAGGAGAGAGCAGACCTAAGATTTTCCCCTCCATTTAATAAGCGGGCTAAATGCCATAGTAAAGTCTGTTTTTTCCAAACTTCATTATATACTTCTATCAACTTCATCATGGCATCATGATTAAGATGCAATATCATCTCATATCGAATCTTATTGGGGCATGGGCACGTTCCTCTATAGGCTTCTAAGGCTTGGACGAGTTCATGCATTGTTAGGTCTCGGTTATAATTAAAGTCATCTCCTGTGGCAAAGTGTATAGGCAGCAGCTCAGCCGCTTCCTTGGTGGTCAGGAATGTGGGATGGTGATTGTCTGAGCTGCTTTTATATGGGAACTGCCTGGCGAGACATTAGCAAGGTTGTACCCTCGTGATGATATTTTTTATTTTGAAATAAGTTTTTCTGTTTATCTTATTGACAGTGGACAAAACATTTGATATTGTGGTGTTGCTGTTAATTGTAGAGACAAAGCTCTGCTAGGAGTCACTTTTTGCTTGTCTTATTGTTCTATGAGCCCAAGCTCTTGCTTGTTTGTATTTGCAATTTCCCTTTCCAAAACCATGGGTACTTATACCCGGAAGAAGGAAAATACAAACAAGTAATCGAAGACCAACGCGATAGTTATGCAAGCGAAAGTACCCAAACAACCATGAAAAAGAAGAAAAGCTATGTGATGACCAATATCCCCTTTATGTGTTATCATGGCACTCTGAAGATGTCGCCAGATAGATAAATTGGCAGGAAATGAAAATAAGGGAAAGGATGTGAAGAAAAATTGATAACCCACAGTTGTAACGAAAACTGCATTTCGGAGTATACATGTTTACAATATATGATTTTGAAAATAAATAAATCTTTATAATCTTTTTCTTAGCGACTTCAATGCCATCCAAGTAATGATAATTAGTCGGAATTACGTTCATTTGGAATAAAAATAACCAAGTCGATACTGACATACATGCAGGGACTGTTAATCTTAATAAAGATGCCTGACAATGATGACAGTCTCTGGCGGCTTATGAAGTCACACTTGAGCCGAGAGGGCGGAAATGACAGGTGAAGCACCAGCAGGGGCGCGCACTCGCTTCTTTAAAAAAAAAAAAAAATGGCAGACAGACGGAGGGCATGTTGGTAGCCTCTACCTAAAAGAGCGAGGATGTAAGGCGGCCGAAGACCAGCCTACAGGCGGTGCACAGTGAGTGCGAGACGTCTCGTCCAGGAAAAAGGCAGCATCTGGCCAACGGGACTAGGACAACTAACCCGGTATCCAGGACAGGGCCTGGCGCTAGAAGCCGATGTACGGTTGGGACGGCGTGAGTTAGTGTCCGAGAGGGTCTTCTGTGTATATGTCCACGGCTGGCCAGGCACCCAGACTACAACCAGGATGCAGGACTTGGTCGAGACCCGGCCTCAACCACGTGGCGCAAGAGAATGTCCTGCGAAGTCGGCCTTAGAGTCGGCGAGTGTGCAGCCGTACACTGCACACACATATGTGTATATATATATACATACATATATATACATATGTACATATGTATATATATGTACATAAATTTGATAAATATACATATATATATATATATATATATATATATATATATATGATATGTATGTATGTATGTATGTATGTATGTATGTATGTATGTATGTATGTATGTATGTATGTATGTATGTATGTATGTATGTATGTATGTATGTATGTATGTATGTATGTATGTATGTATGTATGTATGTATGTATGTATGTATGTATGTATGTATGTATGTATGTATGTATGTATGTATGTATGTATGTATGTATGTATGTATGTATGTATGTATGTATGTATGTATGTATGTATGTATGTATGTATGTATGTATGTATGTATGTATGTATGTATGTATGTATGTATGTATGTATGTATGTATGTATGTATGTATGTATGTATGTATGTATGTATGTATGTATGTATGTATGTATGTATGTATGTATGTATGTATGTATGTATGTATGTATGTATGTATGTATGTATGTATGTATGTATGTATGTATGTATGTATGTATGTATGTATGTATGTATGTATGTATGTATGTATGTATGTATGTATGTATGTATGTATGTATGTATGTATGTATGTATGTATGTATGTATGTATGTATGTATGTATGTATGTATGTATGTATGTATGTATGTATGTATGTATGTATGTATGTATGTATGTATGTATGTATGTATGTATGTATGTATGTATGTATGTATGTATGTATGTATGTATGTATGTATGTATGTATGTATGTATGTATGTATGTATGTATGTATGTATGTATGTATGTATGTATGTATGTATGTATGTATGTATGTATGTATGTATGTATGTATGTATGTATGTATGTATGTATGTATGTATGTATGTATGTATGTATGTATGTATGTATGTATGTATGTATGTATGTATGTATGTATGTATGTATGTATGTATGTATGTATGTATGTATGTATGTATGTATGTATGTATGTATGTATGTATGTATGTATGTATGTATGTATGTATGTATGTATGTATGTATGTATGTATGTATGTATGTATGTATGTATGTATGTATGTATGTATGTATGTATGTATGTATGTATGTATGTATGTATGTATGTATGTATGTATGTATGTATGTATGTATGTATGTATGTATGTATGTATGTATGTATGTATGTATGTATGTATGTATGTATGTATGTATGTATGTATGTATGTATGTATGTATGTATGTATGTATGTATGTATGTATGTATGTATGTATGTATGTATGTATGTATGTATGTATGTATGTATGTATGTATGTATGTATGTATGTATGTATGTATGTATGTATGTATGTATGTATGTATGTATGTATGTATGTATGTATGTATGTATGTATGTATGTATGTATGTATGTATGTATGTATGTATGTATGTATGTATGTATGTATGTATGTATGTATGTATGTATGTATGTATGTATGTATGTATGTATGTATGTATGTATGTATGTATGTATGTATGTATGTATGTATGTATGTATGTATGTATGTATGTATGTATGTATGTATGTATGTATGTATGTATGTATGTATGTATGTATGTATGTATGTATGTATGTATGTATGTATGTATGTATGTATGTATGTATGTATGTATGTATGTATGTATGTATGTATGTATGTATGTATGTATGTATGTATGTATGTATGTATGTATGTATGTATGTATGTATGTATGTATGTATGTATGTATGTATGTATGTATGTATGTATGTATGTATGTATGTATGTATGTATGTATGTATGTATGTATGTATGTATGTATGTATGTATGTATGTATGTATGTATGTATGTATGTATGTATGTATGTATGTATGTATGTATGTATGTATGTATGTATGTATGTATGTATGTATGTATGTATGTATGTATGTATGTATGTATGTATGTATGTATGTATGTATGTATGTATGTATGTATGTATGTATGTATGTATGTATGTATGTATGTATGTATGTATGTATGTATGTATGTATGTATGTATGTATGTATGTATGTATGTATGTATGTATGTATGTATGTATGTATGTATGTATGTATGTATGTATGTATGTATGTATGTATGTATGTATGTATGTATGTATGTATGTATGTATGTATGTATGTATGTATGTATGTATGTATGTATGTATGTATGTATGTATGTATGTATGTATGTATGTATGTATGTATGTATGTATGTATGTATGTATGTATGTATGTATGTATGTATGTATGTATGTATGTATGTATGTATGTATGTATGTATGTATGTATGTATGTATGTATGTATGTATGTATGTATGTATGTATGTATGTATGTATGTATGTATGTATGTATGTATGTATGTATGTATGTATGTATGTATGTATGTATGTATGTATGTATGTATGTATGTATGTATGTATGTATGTATGTATGTATGTATGTATGTATGTATGTATGTATGTATGTATGTATGTATGTATGTATGTATGTATGTATGTATGTATGTATGTATGTATGTATGTATGTATGTATGTATGTATGTATGTATGTATGTATGTATGTATGTATGTATGTATGTATGTATGTATGTATGTATGTATGTATGTATGTATGTATGTATGTATGTATGTATGTATGTATGTATGTATGTATGTATGTATGTATGTATGTATGTATGTATGTATGTATGTATGTATGTATGTATGTATGTATGTATGTATGTATGTATGTATGTATGTATGTATGTATGTATGTATGTATGTATGTATGTATGTATGTATGTATGTATAGTGAAAAGTTTTTTTTCTTGTTTTTCCTTTTCAGAATCCTACGTTTATCATAGCTTTTTATTATTCTTTTCATTATCATAATCTATATCAATATATTCTTATATGAAGTATTTACGAGAGAGAACAAATGAGTAAATGCAAACAAGGTTGTCACCGGAAATACACGCGGCTGAACCTCTTTTATTTTCCTTGTTTCTCGATCAAAGAAATGTTTCATTTTGTAGAAGAGATTCTACGTGAACTTATATGAAAAAATATATATATACATAAATAAATAAAAATAAAGACTTCAAAAAATATATTGTCCTTATGCCTACGTGCTACAGAATAAACAAATGGAGACCCTAACCTAACCCAAACTCTGAATGAGCACTTATTTAGACTCTAACCTAACTTATATCTAATGTACTCGTATTCAACTGAAGTGCGTATGGAATGGTGTTTACAGATGCATAATAACTCTAATGACATATGTGCGCATTCAGTGGCATTGCTGTTTTATTCACTATGATGTTTAACACTACGATGGTTAAACATACAACTAATGCAGAAGTTAATGAACATTGTCATCCGTTTGTCAATGGGTTTTATAATCCGATGTAAAGTATATAAACGGAACACTATGTTGTATTAAATGTTTGTTTTTATTGCGTCCTTATTCCAAAGGATTCACGACCAGCACCATTTTTCCTAGAACAGTGACACAATCAAAACGAAAACATCTGCTTAGAAAATAATTCCATGGATGTAGTAGTGTTGACGTATCATCGCTGTAAATATTATTATCTTTAGGAAAGTATCATATAACCCCAACTTTTAAAAAATCTATAGTCTACGGGTGACCGACCAATGCTATAATGCGAAAGTAAACATAATCTGGTAAGGGGGACATCATTCAGCAACTCCCACCTCACTCGCCCCCTGTCGTTCAGTTGCTTGTAGAGCTCGTTCTGAGGTAGATTGTGGAGGAGCGCATTCGAGTAAAAACTGGATTTACAAGGTGTAATTATTTTGATTACGCTATGGTATATACAAAATGAAAGGGGGTGTTGATAATCAGTCTTACATAAGTAAAAAACATAAGTGTGCCACATATACCTAGAGGAATTTCAGCTATATAGCCATCGAGTGACATCCTGTTTAGTTTATTGGAACATTACTGATATGAAGATACGGAGTATGATATACAAAACACAATATTGCAAAGGGACTCAAACATGCTAATGCCAGTAATAACAGGTTTGGTGATTTTCACTGTTGGCTAAGCCTCGCCTTTACTGTTAGCGCAAGCCTTAGTCCAAAGTGTCCCATCAATACCGGTACCCCATGAATCCATTGTGAAAGACTCGACATCACGACTGAGGCCAAGTCATTCACGAGATAGCTAATCACGCCGAAGTGATTCATGTCGTCCCTGGTCTGTCGTCTCGCAGAATCTATCCTGAAGAACCCGCGTGGATCACGACTGACTCACTCCATCTCGTCAGTGT